ATCTGTTTGATTAGAGAAAAAGATATAGTTACATTTTTTTTTGCATGCAGATCTTTTATAAATCTTAGAGAAGGGTGGTTTTCCAGATTTCAATGGAAATTATCTTGATGAAGTTCACTTATTTTGCCGACACTAAGCACTCTGTCCACCTCTTTTCTTTCTCTTCATTTTTCCCCTTTCTAAATACTTGTTAATCTTGAGAAAATAGGAAGCAGACTGGCATATAGTAGATACTCAGTGAAATGTATCAGATTCATTAGTGGATGTATGTATGCATGGGTGACAAGGCTAGGCATTAGGAGATCCGGATTTTAGTCCTGAAGTACTAGTAGGTATGTCTTGTCAATGGGTTTCAGCCCTGGGCAAGTTCACTATGGATTCAATGTGACCAAAGAAATGACAGTAGAACGTTCTTGGGGTGAAAGGGTTCTACCCAACTTTATTTCCACAGTGGCAGGTCAATCACTAGAATCCCATCCACTCAGAGCAAGTCTGCACGCAGCAAGCTGGGCTCTGCCTCTGGACCTCTCTGCCCTCACAGCCGTCCTCTGGGCCTCTGTCCTTGGCACTGCCACCACTCCAGCCTCTGCTCTGCTCTCCTGCAGCTATGCCACAGTGTCGCCCAGAGCACTGGGCAGAGCCCTTTATATAGAGTCAATAACAATGTATTGCCCACACATGTGTAGTGAGCTTGCCAACTAGGACCAAGTGAGAATTCTGGCCACAGGAACTTTCATTTTATCCACAAAGTATCATACCATATCTAGTGGAAATTATTATGCATTGGTTTTTACTGCAGTGACTTGGAGTGTGTGTGTGTATGTGTGTGTGTGTGTGTGTGTGTGTGTGTGTGTAGTATGTGATGTGTGTATCTTAGATTCCCAGATAAACTGTAAGCCAGAGATCTTAACCTCAAATGCCCACATGGGTCAGGCAAGTAATAGAAATGAGGAAAATGAGTAGGCACAATAAAAAGGAATAGTGGGGACTGTGGCCAACTGGAGGGCACAAAGGCCCAAATGTGATGGGAGCCAAACACCCATTGGCAATCCAAGTCCACTTACAACATAAGCCCCTTTACAAAGATCATTGTCTCTAAAACATCTCTGCCATGTACAAAATAATACAAAAATAAGTGAATAAGAAAAGTATATCCATTGCTAAAATGCACTGTGAGGTGGAAACTGTTCTGATTTTCATCTGGTACGATTTTATGTCATTGACATAATTATGTTTATTTTACAAATGAGGAAACTAAGATGTAATATTTATACATTGTATAAATGTGTATTGGTTGCTCTATTTATAAATAATTGGATGTTAATAAATAAAAAACAGCACAGCAAAGAACAAAGATCAGGCCCCTGAGCTGAGCCCTGAGCCAGATGACAGCAGCACCTTGGAAAACGCATCAGAGGAGGACACAGCTCAGCTGACATCTCAGGGCAGTGGGGATGAGAGTGATTCCCAGAGTCCGTAGGGAGCTCACGGTCTACGGTGTGACTGAGACCTCTGCATTTCCTGTAGAGTTGACACATAGAATAGCTATTCTGCAAGGCCTGTATCCCTTGCTTTGCAACAAACAAAGACTACTGCTCCTATGTGTTGAAATAACTTTAACAATTACGAGCAGTTATCATTTATTAAGTGCTTACTGTGTGCTTAATGTTTTTGGCATCTCCTCTAATTCTTGCAAGGACCTCTGGAAGTCAAGTACTGTTATTGTTCCCATTTTACATACCAGGAAATTGAGGCTTATGGAAGTGAATTAACTTCTCTCAGATCACAAGCTAATAAGTGCCTGTGGGGAAAATGGAAGTTCCTATGGCCAAGGTCCTCACCTGACCCTAAACTACTTGATGATGTAACTGGCCTACTGCTAGGCTAATGCTTCCACACTTGTAGGCAATGAGCTATTATTTACTGAGTCACTATATGAAGAGCTCCACCTAGTGCTCTGGGGGAAGCAGAGATGGAGATGGATTATGGACCTGCAGACTCCTGGATGCAGATGAGTTTTAGTGCTCAATTTACAGCCCTGAGGATAAAGTCAGGTATAAACCTTTTTACCCCAGGAACTTTACTTTGTCATTTCTTGGTCTCACCAGATCCATAGTGAACTTGCCCGGGGCTGAAACCCTCAGCTGAGACAGTTCCAGAATTGGGATATGCATCATGGCAGGCCTGCCTCCAAGCCCATGCTTTTGCCCACTGTATGGCCATGCAAAGAAGGCTGAGAAGAAAACTGCATTGAACTTTTCTACGCATTTTTGTCAACCATGTTTTAAAATACGAAATCCTCTTTTCACACAAAAATCTTGTGCTAAACTCCAAAGTATAACATAGAAAAGAATAGGCTGTTTCTATTCTGGTTGAGGTGGAGAGTGGAGTGCCAATCACTGCCTCCAGTGTATTCTCTCTCACCTTGATTTCCTCCAGCATCATTTCTGGTTGTCTTTACATTTCTCTGACTTCCACTTTCTCCCTGTCACAGGATCTGCTTCACTCTCATTAGTGTGGGTGGACCAAAGACTCAATATTCAATCCTCCATGTCTTTCCTTCTCCATTTGCCCTCCGAGAGTGCTCAACTCACAGATCTTCGTCTACTTCCATTCTGTTAATGACTGTCTTGCCTGAGGGTTTCAGCCCTGGGTAAGTTTAGTGCATTCAGTGAGCCTGAGAAATGACAACAAAATGTTCTTGGAGTAAAATGGTTTATACCCAGCTTTATTCTCACAGCAGTAGGTCAAGCACTAGAATCATGCCTGCATCCAGCAATCTGCAGGTCTGTAATCCACCTACATCTCTGCCTCCATGCAGAGCACTGGGAACAGCTCTTTATATAGTGACTCAGTCAATAACAGCTTATTGCCTGCAGGTCTGGAAGCAGCAGCCTAGCAGCAGGCCAGTTACATCATCAAGTAGTTTAGGGTCAGGTGAGAATCCTGGCCATAAGAACTTTCATTTTCCTCACAGACCCTCACGTGCTTGTCTCCAGACCCACATTCCTACTGACTTGTAGGACATGTGGGTAAAATCTTTCCCAAGATCTGGGAAGAGTTTAAAGTTAGGAAAACTGATATGGCACTGGGTGCAGTTGTCTTAGAGGGTGGTTATTTTAAGCTGTTCAGAAGGTACACCTCCCTCGGAGATGGCTCGAATAACTTTTTAATTGACTGGTGAAGAGGACCTCCCCTTCCCAATACCCATACCCCTACCCTTTTCCACAACACACACCCTTCCACATGCCTGATTGAGGGTGCTCACCCATTAGGGGAATATACAATAAACTTTTGCTGCATGGACAGATAGGTTGCACAGGTTCTAAGTATGAAAATTTTTATCCTATCGCTTCTTGTCTCAGTTGAGAGACAACAGAATATAGTGGTTGAAAACTGGTTCTGGAATCAGACACACCTGGGTTCAAATCCTCCTGACTACTTACAGCTAAGCAACGTCTCTGAGTTCAGGTATCTCATCTGCAAAATTAGGATGATAATACTAGTTATTGCTCATTGTTTTGTTGTGAGGATTAAGTGAAATAAACCATGTAAAGCATAGAGCACAATGACCAGCCTGTACTAAGCCTCAGTGAGTGGTTATCTTCAAGATTATTTTGCTTTTCTTTGCTTTTGAGGTAGTTGGTGAGGTCTGTAGCCCCAGGAATTGCTAAAGCAAGGTCAGGCTTTCTACATCTCCAGGCTTTGAATTGATGGACTTTTTTATTTTTAGCTCAGCTAATAACTAAAGAAAGAGAAGGAGATAATAAAAGGGAAGAGACTTTCCAGAATGGAGTACTGGCTACTACTCATCAGGCCTCACAGGAGTTGCTTTGTCTTTTCAATCTCTTGTAACTTCACACAGTCTAGCTGGGAAATGAGAGTTGGAGTTCATTGCTGCCTTATATCCAGGGTTTCTCAAAGAGCACCCCTGGATCATTGAGCCTCAGAATCACCTGAGCAAATACCTGATCTACAGCCTGAAAATTTCTGGAGGAAGGCCAGGCCATCTGCTTCCCAGATGAATATCTATCTTCAAACTGAGGATCTTTGACTTAATGCTAATATCATATATCTAAAACTTGATTCTACATTTTTTTGTATTCTCATATGTAGGCATGTAATTTCTTCCTTATTTAGATGATAAATTCTCCAAAGTGAGGACAATGTTTCTAGTTTTCTTGTAATCCCCATAGTGTATAGCTCAATCGTAAACACATCCTTGAGAATTAAGGAGATAATTTGTCTGGGTTTAGCTTTCTGCCCTGCCAGGTCTTGGCCTGTCAATGCCTAAGATTAGTAGAAACCTCCAATTAGAATGATAATTCACCAATACCCAATATTATGTCATATACAATGTGAATTTTTAATCAGTACTTTCTCATTGTCATTTCTTATTGGTTGTGTGTTCTTTTGCTAATTAATGCACTGAGATTCAAGACTAACAAGGGAGCAAATTAACAAATCTCAAAAGTGAGGTCCATTCCAAGTTTCAGAGGGTTTGTAAAGCAGAAACTTATAGGTCTGCCTGCCTTATTAAAGAGAGCTAGTCCCCTTCTCTCCAAAATGGTCATTCAACTTTTCAAAACACGGATTAAAACATAGTTTTCCTTACAGAGTCAACAGTGATATGTGCTAACTTAAGGGAAAAGGAAGAACTTGTTACTTTGTGATGAGTTTGCTTCTCGGCAATTGAGAGGTCTGCCATATTTTTATGGTAGTTTCCTTTGAGGTTCTGTGAATGCCTTCTAGAATGTGGAGGCTCCACCATCAGTCATATGAGAGATCTTCCAGTACCCTAATGTCATTAACCCAGATGCTTTGGTTGCTGTGATATGCAATTATTTCTTCTACATTTAAAAAGCAGTTCTCTGGCTAACCTGTTAACCATGTTTGATCTTAACAAGATGAAAAATTTTCAGAATCTAAGCTTATGATCTTTTTGCTACATTTATCTGCTTTTAATTCATAGTAGCTTTCTCCCTCTTTCTCTTCTTTAGGATCAGCATTCTGTGGTAGGCCAGAACACAGGCCCCAGTCCAAGTCCCAACTCCTGCTCAAATCCAAACACTGGAAGTGGTTTCATGAACTCCCAGCAATCACTGTTGAATCAGCAGTTGATGGGAAAGAAACAGACTCTACAGAGGCAGATCATGGAACAGAAACAGCAACTTCTCCTCCAGCAGCAGATGCTGGTTGATGTGGTAAAACTTTCTCCTAACTTCTGTTAAACAACAGAGGGATTAGTCATTTTCCGTTTCTACTTACTGCCCTTTTCTCTGTGTCTACTTACATGACAGCATCAAGGGTGTCCTGGCTGTAAAAGAGACTAATTCTGTATGTTAAGTGCTGCAGACAAATACAAAACACAAAGCTTAATTTACCAGCTTTTGGACATTTGGAATGCATGGCACCTCAGCTACCTAGCCCTGCCCAGCCCAGGAATGTTTAGAACCACTAACATGGGCATTTGAATCAGGCAAAAGGAACCTGTGTTGTTCTGCAGTCCTGAGAGGCAGAAATATTGGAGAGAACTTTATTTGACTCAAATTCAAACCAATTTTAGAGATGAAAGAGTTTTAAAAGCTAGCACGAAGTTTCAAAACTTCAGATTTGGCTTTTAATATAAAGCATCTCAGAATGGGGGACTTTTTTAAAGAAAACTGAAAATATATTACCCAATTTCACCATATTTCAAAGGTCTTAAATAAAAAGTCATTATTTCCCAAGCATTAAACGTGCTTCACTATTTATCATCCCTTTGTATTCTCAGATAAACAACAATTGACCCAAAGCCTTCCTGCCTCCTAAGACCAAGGCCCTATCTCTAAGTTTCATTCTCCTTTCAAACTATTTGGCCAAATGAAATAAGAAAAGGGCAAAGTTAATCACCTCCAGGTTGATAGAGCCAAGGTACATAAAAAAGACAAAAACAGAATTAAAAAATTTCATACTTAAGGTGCTTTGTAGTAAAAGAAATCCAGGATGTGATAAATGCTATAATCTATTCAAAAATTTTCCTAATTTATAATGGGAATACAGCCACAAACAAGACAGACCCTGTCTTTGTCCTTAAAGCTTAGAGCCCACTATGGATGTCAAATAACTAGGCAGTTGAGTATGTGTGATTCAATGCTATGATGTGGGAACTACTGGAAATAGCTTCAGAGGGGAAGTTAAATCTACTTGTCGCTGGGCAGCTGTGTCTTGGGAGGTCTCTCCCTGTGCACTAGGTGAAGCGCTAGGAGAAACCTCAACCTGGACATGAGAGGGTTCTTGACTCGGAACAAGAAAGATTCTCAAGCAGGTTGGACAAGTGTAGGTAAGGAAGGAATTCATTAAAGTGAGAATAGCAGGGAATGGCAGCTGCCTTTCAGGCAGCAGAGAGCAAGAAAGAGCAGAAGGAGTAAAGGGAAGCTCATTGAACTCCTCCTCGGCATAGGGTAGGTACCCTGCCAACTCCTGAAGCCAGGATCACCTGGCGTCCAGTGTCTGCTTGGATCTGCATGGTGTGGGAACTGAGCCCCTACAACCCCAGGGTTTGAGGGAGCCACAGAGCACTAGATGGAGTGAGATTATGTTCTGAGAACTTCACAAGGGCAAAAAAAGGAGATTTTTAGTACATCTTCAGTCCTGTCCAGGTCACTTAGGCAACGAGAATTTATAAGCCCAAATCAGAGCTCTCAGCAGCCCCTCTCTACCTGTTTGGAGTAGAAAAAAGACAGAGTAAGGACTTGTGCTTAAGTCTAGAAAATAGAATGAAATAATGAAGTAACAAAGACGCTTACCACTGGAAGAGTGCACAGATAAAACATAATAAGTTGAACTGTGAGAAGTCTTTATTGAAGGCAAAAAGTACACACTCAGAAGAAGGGTAGTGTGGGCAACCTCAGAGAAGGCACGCTTGAGTGTTTGGGGTTTGGGGTTTTATAGGGCCTTTTAATTAGAGGTCAGCATAAGGCATGATATACACAGGTGATTCCTATTTCCTTTGAAGTTTTGTCTTAAGAATAGGGTTATTTAGGTGACTGGGTTGGTCTGTATCTCAACATTCTTTGTCCACATAAGTTCATTTACACTTTGGAGGTCTACCTCCTGTCCTAGTTAAAAAGTAACTAATTGATTAAGGCGCTGGAAGAAGAGGAAGAACAGCCTATAGATTAAGTTAAAGAATAATCTGGGACTTTTTTGCAGACTAAGTAGATTTTACAATGGCATGACCCTTGTCCTATTTTCCTGCCCTACCTCATACTGAAGATCTGAAGGTGAAGTAGGAGATGGGGGAATGAGTAAGTCAGTGGATGGGGGAATGTTGGACGGGGGGGAGTTGTTCCAGCCAGAAGAACCAGCATATAAGACTCAGAGACAATATAAGTATACTACAAATTATGTTTGCTGAAGTACTGTGTAACTCTTGGGGGAAAATAAGTTCCCAGCCTGGGGCAAATTACCTTTAAAGCCAAAATCAGTCAAAGGGAGAAATAAAGTGGGAGAAACCCGTTTATTGCCTACAAGCAATCATCCACTTCTGCTCGCCCAGGTCTCTTGTGACCTGGCTGTAAAGAGGCCCCGCCAACCCTCTCTGGTCCAAATATACCCTCGCTTCCTCCACCCTTGTAATCACCTATTGATATGGAGATGGACTACTCTCCACCCCTTGGAAACACCTACTAATATGGAAATGTAAATACCCTAAGGCCAGGAAAGAGGTTCTGGAAATATTGCAGTTTTACCCACATATGGAATGTACACAAGGATGGGGAGGTGATAGCCAAGGAGGCCAGAGATGAGAGGCCAGAAGATGGAGCTTGATAAATCAGAGTTTACACTGTCTGAAGCAATGGCAAGGACCTGAAGGATTTTAAACAAGGAAGTTCTAGATTCAGATTTGCATTATAATAAAGGTATAAAACTAGTTGTTGGGGGAGGGGAGGTGGAAAGAAATGCAGAAAATGATAAATCCAGCCTGGAGAGATTGAAGATAGTCTCCCACAAGGAGCAAAATTTGTCTCTGACTTTGAAGGACTGTAGAATTCTGATGGACTAAATAGGTGGGGTCCACCATTCCAGGTGGGTGGATGGTGGGCCAGAGACTAAAAGGTACAACCTAGATGTGTATTTGTTGATTAGTTTGAGATTGCATTATGAAATATTTAACGTATAATGAAAAGAATAAATAGTAATGCCGCAATCACTTTTGTTCTTTAAAAGAATGACAAATGAAATAACTTTGGATTCCAGAGCATGTGAGAAATAAATTTATCCGATCTTAAATGAGGAAGAGTGAAAAAAAAGTTTATAGGTGGCCTTGAGTACAGCCCTTCAGGTGTAAAGTGCAGGGGAATCACTGACTGGATCGAAAAGGGGCACACAAATTTCTTCTGTAAATCACAGTTTTGAAAACCCCAGTCATCTTGCCCACTTAGTTTTGATCTTAATGAATTAAATAACTTAGAAATAAGGGCAGCAGAAGAGAAAAATCTACAATCTAAGAATCACTTATTGGATACACTTTCATAATTCCCATCAATACTACTCATTTATTGAATTATAACATACAGATGTTGAATTTCTGGATTTTCAGCTCTGATTAAAAGGCAAGGAAACATTCCATGAAGGTTCTGCCTAGCACTGGCCTGACTCCCACTGAGCCCCAGTTGAGTCACCCCTAGGACAGGTGCACAGGGCAGCACAATGAGCGTGAGAGATGAAAGAGAATGAGGCTGCTGTTTTTGTGATTTTTATGAACTATTCACCTTTCTCTTTGTTTGGATGCCACTGAGGGTGCCTGTGCTTTTTAGCATATCCAGGAAGAACAGTCTTTGATACTACTTTACATTAGCATATGCTTTGTAGTCATTTGAAGTCAGTTGGCAAGGCCAGAAAGGTGCCTAAATTGAGACATTTTCTCATGAAAAATGTGGTATCCTTACTATTATTCTCCCACCAAAGAAGCACAAAGAGGAGAGATGAATAGTACTTATTACAATGGGCATTATAATTACCAGCATGTTCTGTGCACCTACTACATGCCAGGCACCATGTTGAGCTTTTATAGAATTTAAGGAGTAATCCTTTCAATGAGGGTGTGAAGGAGGTTCAGAATTATCCACATTTCACACTTTGATAAAAAAACTGAAGCTGGACAGATATGTCAACAGAAAATTTTTTCTATATTAGGTGTTGAGGTCCAAGATACTAGGTTAGCATGATATGTTAGCAGGTAACTTAAATTTCATGTTGCACAGAAGTTATCCCAGGGATGGCCTGTGAGTTTACACTGGCATAGAATGGGGTGTTATCCTCCTGTGAATGGAGCAGTCTCCATTCAGCACTGGAATCTAGTCTTCGCTACTCTTCAGCACCAAGTTACAACATAGCAGAACCCTGATAGTCCATATGCAAGGCCATTAAATCTGACTCATTTGTGGAGAGTAGTTTAAGAAACTCACATTTCCAGAGATGTATATGTTAACACTTTCAACAACCAATTTTAGCCCTCAGGGGAATAAAAAGTCAGTAATTAGATCGAATGTACATAAAAATAAGTCCAGATTTGAAATCTAGTCTTTAATGGGAAACCAAGGGTCTTATTTCTCTGTCTCTCTCTGTCTCTCTCTCTGACACACACACACACACACACACACACACACACACACACACACACACACACGCACACACAAATCTTGTTTTCTTCTAGGTTCCAGATTCCAATTCCAATGCTGAATGGAAACTGCTCTATTTGCAAGAGAATTACATCCCCATTCTATGCCAGTGTAAACAGCAGAAACACCTAATTACAAAGGAAAAATGATAGATGATTTGAAAGAAAGATTTCAGGGAGTTGCATGCTTGGCATAAAAATCAAAACTGTCAGCTTGCACAATAGTTTACAATAGCAGTGGTTGAACATCCTGCATTTGGGTTCATGAAACATCTCAAGTTGTTTCTTAAACATTAGGGTTTGGGCAAAACCATAAAGAGTTTTACCAATCACTGTTTCCCTTAATTTGTAAACCCAAATTTAAAAGAAATGTAATCCATATGTTTCTGATTCATTTACACTTAGCTCATCAAAGTATTTTATATTAATTACACGATACCCAAATAGCCCTGTAAGTCTTTCAAGTTTTTTTCCTTAGAAACAAGAATTTGAATTTGGTTTTTTGCTGTTTTAAAGCCATTTTTTTTCCTTTATAATAGATTATTTAAACTAGAAGGTTTGGAATTTGATGGGGAACTGAGAAATACATGACTTAAGTGGCTTAGGTTAGGAAGTACACATTTGACTTCTTTTTTACTCATCTATCTTTTAATTGATTTTCTTTTCTATAATTACATTGTTCTCTGTCTACCTATGCCGATTATTTTAACTTTGAAAATGAAGGTTGCTTTGAGGTGCAGACAAAGTTTTGGTAAATTAATTCTAAAAAATTCCTGATCCATGTTGAGAAAGAAACAAAGTATCCTCTCATATCCAGAACTGCTATGACACTCACAGCCAGGCCCTTTTGTTCTCTGTTGGACATAAACAATCTTACAGAATACCATCCTCAGCCAGGGTTACTCTTAGACTGTGATAGGATGAGACAAAATAAGGCCACTTAATAATTTTGTCTAAAAACAGACACAAACAAAGGTCACTGTGCAACTAATGAAATTCCAAATAGTCCCCTCTTTTGCTACATGAGTGACAGCTACTTCTTCACTCAATCATAGAATCAGCCTCACTTTCTGACAGTTTACAATGTAGAACAAATCTTTGATTCCTTAGACCCTCTCTAAAGCAGCCAATCAAAGCCTAAATCCTGTAAGAGTTCTTTCTAACATGTTCCTACCAACACACCCCATAGGCTCCCATAATGTGTGTCCTCCTTTGCTGCAATAAGTAGTAAACCCAGCAGGTATATTCCTGGTGGTCTTTGGCTGAGGGTATTGCCAATATGAAAAGAATGTGCCCTATTTCTTCCTTTATTCCCCAACTTACTACTGTAAAGATCTGCAGGTGGCTAATTCCAGAAAGAAAAAAAGGAGAGAACCTGGGAAATGTCTGTGCTTTGAGAATGAGGCAGGGAGAAATGGAGAAGCATGGGGCCTTTATATTGTGGTCAGGAAAGAGCCTGAGTTTTCAACCCACGATTTGGTTTCTGTTTTTCCACTGTATGATCTTGGGAAAATCACTTAGTCTAAGGAGGCTTTCATTTCCTCATCTACTAAGTGGGAATAATCATGCTCACCTGCAAGGCTCCTTATGAGGAGAATAAAAATGAGGTAATCCATGTAGGGTGCCCATACAAGTACCTGATAGGCCATCTCCTGACATCTCCTATCTAGGGTTGTCAGATTTAGCAAATAAAAACACAGGATGCACAAGTGTCCATCCAGTATTTTATCTGGCATCCCACTCCAATCCTTCCACACCATGCGGAACCAGAATTATATACAGGTGTGCTACAAAATAAAACTAGAAATAACATCTGCAAAATCACAAAAGTTAGCCCTCACTGAAACCTAATTGCAAAATAAAGAAAACGAGAGTAGTTACTGGACCCAAAACACATGTTGAATGTTGAGGAGAAATAGATGTTACACTTCCTTTCAGGAAGTTCATTGAAATTGAAAATATAGTCTTACTTTTTAAAATAACAGTCTAGAAATTTTTACAAGTGAGAAAGTAACAATGCAATTTAATGTTATCATTTATCTTTTCAAGGAGAAAATTGCTCCACAAGATCAAATAAATAGACATTTGACAAGGCCACCCCCAGATTATAAAGACCAAAGAAGAAATGTGGGTAATATGCAACCAACTGCTCAATATTCTGGTAAGTGTTCTTAAAAATTGATACCAATCTTCACTGTGTAAAGAAGAAGACTGTTCAGTTGTTAGTATTTCCTTCTTTCCCTGTCTCATATTTAACTGTAACATCTTCATTAGAGTCCTTCACTAGCTCCCATTTAACTTTTAGATCAAGACCAAACTTGAATTTTTTTTAGCCCTCATATCAGTTCTTACTTGTTCTTGCCCCATATTCGCATATTTCAGTGCTGTCCTGACTACCTCTGAGCATTCAAAAAAGCTTAAATGTGTTCTAACTGCTAGATTCAATCATTCTCTTCCCAACAACGTATCTTGACCCAAACGGCTTAAGGTATGCAGACGCTTCTACCTCTTAGTCACATTTGTAGCTGATATAAAGCCCAATCTTTTCATCTCCATCTTTGGGATCATCTACGTAAAACAAATAGTTCTGGCACCAAGAAATAATTGAAAAGAAAATTAAGTCTTTATGATGTCTCTCAAAAACACCAAAGGTAGAGTGCATTTAAAGAAAAAGCAAAACTTCTTAATAGATCTCTCAATTGCATAGGTGATAGGCACTACCCCTAAAATCTCTCTTCCACCTTCTGAACTCCCAAGACATCTCTCAAACCTAGCCCAAGCCTTCCACCTACTCCCAACAGCATCTATTCAAGTCTCTTCTGCCCAGAATTCCCTGCGCTTCCTCATGTAAATTAAGGATGCCCTATAGCTTCCCAAGTTCTCTCTGCTTTACCTGTAAATTCATCTGCCAAGGAAGCCAATAAAGAGGATTCTTCAAAGAAGGAGGAGCTGTGAATAATGCTCCTGTTTATAGCTGTTTTGGGGCCCTGCTAAGCATAGTTATAAATATGTTGTTCTAATTTACTTAAACTCTTTAAAATGTGCCAGGTTGCCTCTTTCCACTAAAATTAAGAATGGGATACATGTATCCACTCTCTAAGATTACTTTGTCTCAGGGAAAAACGGGATTCTTTATTTGATTCTGCCCTCAATGGAACTTGAAAGACAGTATGCGGGTTTATTTGGGACAGAACTTCTCATCCCACGGCCTGTCCGTGTGTTTGGAGGAAGCTAGGAGCCCTTCACAGTATTACACAAAACTCAAAGTGGGTGTTTAGGCTTTTCTTTTCCCTTTCATATAAAAGAACCCCAAGGCCAGGCCCGGCCTGGTTCTGGGATATACCTTGTCAGGGCCCCGGGCTCCTTTCATCTTTCTGCTTCACCTGCTTGGGCATGTACTTCCCACCCTGGAACTTATCATGGGGCCACATCACCATCCCTGGCGTCCGTATTCCAGACAGAAAGATGGGAAAATGGAAAAGGGCCTTGCAAATGAGTCCTATCCCCTTTTAACATAGGCTTCTTGGACTTTCACCTAATAGCTTCTGCCTTTAGCCGGCATTTCCTCATATGGGCCCTCCATCAGCAAGGACATTTAGGAAATGTGGTTTTGCAGCTGGGCACATCACTACAAAATCAAGATGGTCTCTAAGAAAGACAGGGTGTTTGGATATTTCTTAGGCACCTAGAAGTCTCTTCCACAGAGCAAACGGGCCTTTCCTAAGGGAGGGTCCTTAGCATCTGCTTGCAGGCTGACCCCCAGATGAGTAAGAATTTCTGCTCCAGAGCATAGTTTTTCTCATGTCTTCTGAGAACGAAATAAGCAACAAGGACAACACAAACTTTTTTTAAATCATTTTTTATTTTAACCTCAGTACAATTATAATCACCTTGCCCAGATGTTAATATTAGAAAAGATGTATAAAAAGCACCAGGAACAATTGCTACCACAACATTAAGAGTTTCTAAATGTTAACTGTGATTAATATTTTGTGATCTTTATGGAAATTCTGTGCTAAACAAAAACTTCAGAGAACACATGGTGCTAGAAAGAGGAAGGTAGAATATCAGGGAAAGCTTAATGAAGGAGATTGGACCCTGCTCAGTGGTGTAAGGGGCATCATATGAGAGAAATGGCATGAGCTGAGATAGCTCATGGCGTGTGGATTAAAATGTGGTAGTAACTACGCCTCCTGAAGCAGAGGGCTCGCCATGTGGAGATGCCACTGGAGGATGAATTAGATGGAAATCCCAGATATTTAGAGATGGGGATTTACCCTTTGGACTCTGGGGAGCTGCTCATGGCAGCTTCTTGAGTGGGATGATGCAGATGAAGAATTGGACATGATTTTCAAAGCCATAGGTTTGGAGTATTAGTCTAGCAGCCACATCCAGGATTCATCCAGGATTCATGCCTCTTACTTGGACCCTGGCAGCGTGGATTTCGTAACAGCTGGCCAGTCAAAGCTGTAGCCTTTGGTCTTGGAACAGAGAAAAGCCAATGCAAAATGGAAGGTTGACTGTTACCTCCCCACAATGACTCCCAAGGAGGATAAAGTGAAACTTAAAACACAGAAACATTTTATTTCAGTCTTCTTTCTGTAATGCATGAACTCTTACCAAGGGATAACCTAGAGTGATACTGTACCCCAGAAGCTGTCTTATTTCTTTTATATAATAGACTGTGGTGAGGATTTCTCCTTCTTTGTTCTTATCCCCGAAAGCAGTTTCAGAGTTGGCACGTCATTGCAAATTTCTGTAAAAGAGGAGATGCCCTGTGGTTATGAACTAATACAATAATCTTCTTTCTCTTAGGTGGCTCTCCAGCAGTGAGTTTAAACTCTAACCAGGCTTTGACAAACCCAGTTTCAACACACACCATTTTAACTCCAAATTCCAGCCTCATGTCTGCTTCCCAGGGGACAAGAATGCCATTGTTATCCACAGCAGTTCAGAATATAGGGATGTATGGAAATCTGCCGTGTAATCCGCCTGGTACATACAGCGTCACTTCAGGAATGAGTCAATTGACCCAACAAAGAAACCCAAACCAATTGATAGCAAATCAGAACCCTATGATGCCACGGCCTCCTCCTACCTTAGGGCCAAGTAATAATAATAATAATGCGGCAGCTTTCGGGGCCGGACCCGTTGGCAATTCACAACTGAGACCAAATTTAACTGCTAGTATGGCAAGCGTGCCGGCCCAGAGAGCCGCGAACGTGATGATCACCCCCAGCGCGTCAGCAGCAGACTGGGGCTCCCAAGAAGCAACAGCCAAACAGCAGGATGCCCCGAAGCCCGCAGGCGCCCGCCTGCCCACAGGGGCACCCACCGCCTTCGCCCCAAACCAGGCCCTGCAGCAGGCGGTGGGCAGCCCGCAGTTTCCCCAGAGGGCCGGGGCTCCCTCCAGTCAGTTAACACCAGCGGTGCACATGAGGCCCATGGGCCAAACGCTGAACGGCCAAACCACGGGCCCGCTCCGGGGTCTGAATCTCAGACCCAGTCCGCTGAGCACACAGGTTCTGCCTAATTTGAACCAGTCTGGAACAGGGCTGAGCCAGTCGCGGACAGGCGTAAGCCAGCCCACCCCGCTGGCCGCCGGCAGTTTCCCGTCACCCAGCCAAAGTTCCAGGGCTTTCCAAGGAGCTGACCACGGCAGTGACTTAGCCTTCGACTTCCTCCACCAACAGTCCGATAGCATGGGCCCGGCCCTCAACAGCGATGCTGATTTCATTGATTCTTTGCTGAAGACAGAGCCTGGCAATGATGACTGGATGAAAGACATCAATCTTGATGAAATCTTGGGGAACAACTCCTAAAGGAGGAAAGGGAGATGGTTCTCAAACTCCCAGCACTAAGAGGTGGTATTTCACGAGGACTCTGTAAAGGCCAAGCTGTTGACTTTTAGTGGGACTACGTCAAGACACCTTGGCTTAAAAATGGAAAGCAGAAAGTAACGGTAGGGGTGACCATTTCGGGCCAAGTGCTTGTTTTAAATCTCAAACCTGAAAGGGAAACACTGGGATCACTTTTCCCCACCTAAGCTCCAGGATGCAGTATCCAGTTTATCTGAACAGAACTGTGATGTTGATGTGTAATTAGCTGTATAAAATAGTCTTCCTAAGTTCCTTTTCTCCCTGAAAGAAAAGTAATAGGACATGTGGCTTGTCAAACCCCATTTCGCGCAGAGGTACTAGTTCCAAGAAAGAAGCAACAAATGCCTTAATTTGCTTTAACAAATCTAAGTGTGGTTTAATCTTTCCACTCTGTCATTTCATTTAGTTTTTCTAGAATTTCTAGGGTAGATTAAAATGTTATAGGTTTGTTTGGAGTAACTAGTGTCCTAAGTAACAGAAAGCCAGAGCACTTAGAGAGCACTCGGTGGGATCATTGAATTTCTTCCCCAGATTTCCCCTTTACGTTTTCAGTTTTCCCACATATTCTTCAGCAAGATGCTGTGTCTAGTGATGAAACAAGAATGCAGAACTGTCCAACTTTCTTTGGGCTTCCATAACCAGTTTCTGAATCTGTTTCCAAGTCTTAGAGACAATTACAACCTGTCCTAATCATACTGAAGTAATAGGGCACACCTGACCGCATCAGAGTTCACTGTGTAAAAAAGTGATGGGAGGCCTCCTGTCATGATGCCTGCTGGTTAGTTTCTGAGCTGAGTGCAGCTGAACTTGGTCCTCCCTGCTTGTCTTGATGAACAATAGCTGATTTGTAAGAAAAGGAAGTTTGGAAACCAAAACTGATATTAGGAGGTATCATGTTTTGGTTGGAGATAAGAAACAAAAGATCAGAACCAGGAATGGCAGGTACAGGTGGGTGCAGATCTATTTCACAGGGTTTGAAGAAAAGCATAAGCAAGAGAGAAAATACTCTGTCCTGATTTGGACAGATTATTTGGGTAAACAGTTAAATGGACTGTGATCTGTTAGTAGCAGTCTATTCATTCTTCTGTTCCTGATGTGATGAATCATTGCCACATGCTAGACGGATGCTTCATATCCAGGTTTTCTCCCTCAGGGCTGAGCACTGTGTCAAAGAAAGAATATTTGTTGAGTCATGTAACCCCAGTGCCCCAATACAGATCCGTTGCAAAATGGGGAAGATATGTGCCGATTTGGGATGGATGCAAATATCACTAGCATTTTCCTAATTACAGGTGAGAATTACACCTGAAAGCAGTTTATCTTCAGCCTTTTTACTTATACTCACATATTCAATTATCAAATGTAATTTAACTGAAGTTAATAACTAAGTCTTTAAGTACCTGTTCTAAAAAGAACGCATTTTGGAAGTTCTTTTAAGTCCTCTCCCAATTTTTAAAATGTCTAGAAGCACTCTCTTTCTTTTACATAATACCAATATACTGGCCCAGAATCTTTTCTGTGCTGGGTTGTAAATATTAATAAATTACTTGTTTTGTAAACTTTTGTAAAGAATATTTTGGTAGAAATACTTAAAAACATATTCTTTGGGTTATATTTATACATATGTGAAATAAATATACTATCAAAAGGTTATATTTTATACAAAAAGTAAATTGTTACCTTTTGTATGCTAATATACAAAGTTTTATATAATACGATGGTTTATTTTTAGCTCTACACTTAAACCATAGGTGGTCAAGTGGAACTTTTGAAAACTATCAAGAGGCTTGTTAGACAAATTTATATTCTGAAACCTCAATAGAAAAGCATTCCAGGTTTCAATCCTTTCCTTTTTTTTTTTTTCTGCCCCCACATACTTTTTTAAACTCATAGTTCTTGTGTCCTGTTTGATTATTCTGCTGTGCACATTGTATCGGTCCTTGTTGCATGTGGTCTACTGTGTGGTTTCCCATTTTATAAAAGTGTTTCTCCATGCAAAAACAGTAAGGAAAAAGTTATGTATATATAAACACTTTTATTTTATGACTCCTCCATGTTACTGTATATATCTGCCAGCACTTCCCAGTTACACTCCTGTGAGTCAGCTTATTTTTACCCTAACATAAATAGTATGTTTTGTAGTAGCTATCAAATTTAAGAGAGAAAACAATCAGAATGTTTGGATTTTCTTCTATCGTAATGTGAATTTCATAATTAGTGTCTTATTTATTCAGCTATTCATTAAAATACAGGATTCTTTGGAAAAAAATGGTGTAGTCTATAGTTTCTGTTTGTTGGCAGCCTGTTACCAAAGATGACATAATTTCCTGAAAGCTGAGATAATGACAATTGAATAGACCTAGATAGCCAAAATTTTAGGATTTATGATTTAAAAGCAATCTCCCATTTATAGACTACTTAGTTGTTGGCATTGTTTATCGTTCTGACATATTTATACAAGAGGTAGAAGTAATTTTTCTTTTCTTTTTTTTAATTTGAAGACTAGAAAGCCATTAAAGCAAATAATTCACTCTTGGCTTTGTGTTAAGCCCAATAAAGATAAATAACTGCTCTAGGTGAATGCACTAATATTACTTGCATTACTGTAACTGTACCAATAACTGTAAAATTTTCAACCTGTAAAACGAGTATTTTGTATTGTGTGTAATTTCATGTGTTAAAAAATAGTTTTTAAAAATTCATAAGTGGTTCTCTTGTATGAAATCATACTTTCAGCTACCAGCAGTGTTGTTGCTCCATCAAAGAAAGTTCTGAGGACTATCAATAGTGATGGGCAAATTTATTCTCTGGGAAGCTTCTAATACTGGTGAAATGCAGACTTGTCTCATTTCTTTGGTTCACTTATAATACACTTAGTATGAAGATTTTATATGCATAACGCCTGCTAAATACTGGAGAAACTGCCTACTTCTCAGGCACGGTGGGCCTCTGCCTGGCCTGCTGTGTGGCATTTGTTTGGACCAGGCTAAGTGGACACAGCACCAGGAGAACAAGCCTCACTGAGCATATTTACACAGTCCTTCTTCAGAGTCAAGGAGGTTGAGAGAAATGTGGGCCTTTGTAGGAGGTGTGAGGAATCATTCTAACCAAATTTTCCTGCTGTACTGTTGAAATAAGTTGCTAGGTTTCCATTGTCTCTTTTATCTCTGCCAAAAAGATATGTGGCATCATCCTTTTTATTAGCATTATTAATGGAGCAATAATAAAACTGACATTTTATATAGCTGTTGTCCAGTGGCTCTGGAAAGTTGGATAGTAAACAAATCATATCAATAAAGATAAATCAAATACACACAAATTAAGAGAAAAAAATGTGTACTTCTAAAATTACGTCTGGATCCCAGCATGAACCTGTGGGAGCAGACCTGAGAGAAAAACACAGAAAGAGAAAGAAACCTCAGCTTCTTCCAATTCTGTGGCTGCCAAAGGCAGTTCAAACTCTTAAATGTTCTATTATTTCCATTTTATATTTCTCTGTGTTTTCTCACTCCAAAATGAGGGTTTGGGGTTGAACTAGCTCCACACTCCTTTCTAACTCTAAAACTCTGTGATTGATTTTTTTCCCCAAAGCTAAGTGGAAAATTAATCAAAAAGGACTCCATAGTATCATTTTAAAATAAAGAAATCACCGTTCACTCAACCTTTTGAAAATTTTCAGATTATCAGTCAACTTTACTGAACAAAGCATCCATCTCCTTAAAATTAAATCATATAAAAATGAAATTTCATCATAGGCCAGAACTATATTGTAGCCAAACCGAAAGGTCGTGTGGATAATGTAGGTGCCCACTGACTAAATGCAAATCAAGTTCTGAAGCCAAAAGTTGGAATGTGATAATAAATGCTCATTGTCCTGTGAGATCATAGAATTTCATAAAATATTTGCCTACTAAGGAGGAGAAAACCAATACTTCAGTGTATTTATTCCATGGGGTGTATATATGCATATGTGTGTATATACACATATATATAAAATAGGTAATATAAGACCTATAAAATGCGTGATATATGATAAACAATACAATATATAATATATATGTAAATGAACTTTTGTGAGTTGTAAATGATAGGTTAGCATCTTCTAAATATAATTCCTAAATTCCTATAATAGACAAAAGTATAGGTAATGACTTAATATCAATTTCACTGACAACAATAACATAACTAAAACTTTGTAGCATGAGAATTAAGAACACATACCACATTAGGTTTTTAAAATCAAATGTTGTTGTCCCTGACCTGCATGAGTTAATAGTAAAAGGGGACTTTGTTTACATACATAGCATTTTAAGTTCCCTTTTAACCAAATTATTGTCATCTTTAGCTCCAGGATGTACGTGAACTTGTACTTTTTATGCTTAGGTTTCTTTCAGCAAAAGAGAGGGAGGGATAGAGAATAATATATAAAAGACTACATAAATATATAGATTTTTATAGGGTTCTTTCAGTAAAAGGGAGAGAAAGAGGTAGAGACATAAAGAAGGAAATAAAACATACCTCAAGGATAGGTTTAGAGAAAGGAATTTACTGGATTATATAACTAAAAAGTCTAGGAGGTAATTCTGGGTTTAGGCACAACTGAATCCAACAAATCAATGATGTCCTCAAGAATTGGTTCTTATTTGTCTCTGACCTTTGCTTCCCTGTCCTGGCTCCACTCTCAGGCAGGCCCTTCCCTCATAGTGGAAAGACGGTTGCTAGAAGCTTTAGTCTTACATCCTCATATCTCAAAGTCCAGCATGAGCAACAGTGAATGCTTCCCTTTCAAAGGATCTGACTTTGCATCTCACAGGCTCTCATTAGAACAAGTGTCCATCTCTGAACAATCACCTTGGCCAGTGAGGTGTGGTGTTCTGATGGTTTTTAACTTTATCCAATACAGAGGAATTTGCTAGGGTACCTCTTGGTGTTCAGTGATAATAGCACAATAGGCAATTTCAACAACCTAGTCTTGAAAAAGGCTTCAATTCCACCAAAAGTGAAGGTCTGGGTCAGCCACCAAGGCAAGCATCCAAGAGAATTTCTGACTAAAAGAAATCTACAATGGGTGATAATGGAGATGATGAATATCAGTTTTAGCCTTAGGAATATCAGCTATAGCTACAGGCACTGTACTTGTAACCCACCTACTGTTATGACTTTTATTTTTCCCTTTTTCAGGGAACCAAATCTCAGACCTTGAAGACTCAGTGATGGGATAGGGTAACCATGGTGTGGGGCTTAAGAGGATCTGAGTGGTTCATTATAGCAGATCCAGAAAGGGTTCCACCTATATTCCCTTAAGCTGTCCTGGACAGCTACTGAGCACAAATGATCGCTTCCTGCATTTCTGTTTGGGGGTGTCCTCCACATACTCAGCACACACAAGGTACAAGCCCTAGAGGCAGGGAATTATTTCCCCAGGTGAACTTCAACCAATTTGGTGGAAAATATCTAGCTTTCTCCTCCCTTAGTGAATAAATCTGATGTGTGTTTCACACTATCTTTCAGAATTCCCAGCAGAAATAAGCCCACAATGATGACCTGCTCATTAACACACCCTTCATAAGCTTTTTTTCCTTCTGGGTCTTATTCCTCACTCCTTCGTAGCTCTTCCCAGTTTCACCTCCTCAACAAACTATTATACCCAAATCTTTGTCTTAGGCTCTACTTAGGGGAAAACTAAACTAATACAAAACATGAATGTCCATTAACAGTAGAATGGGTAAATTGAGGTATTGTCTTCAAATGGAATGCTATGCTGCAGGAGAAGGGAATAAGCTAAACACTTCAACATAATATTGTTGAAGGCAAGAAGCAAGTCACAGAAAAACACCTAGAGCTCTATTCCATTTATTTAAAAATTATGTCTACTGAAATCAACATGACCTTTGCACTTAAGAAGTTTATTCAGTGAATGTGGGTAAAATTGCAACATTTCCAGAACTCTCCCCTGGCTTTAGTGCATCTCCTTATCAACAGGTGTTTCCAAGGGGTGGAGAGAAATAGTAATTACCTGGGCTTCTGAGGGCTTATCTGGACCTGAGAGGTTAGGGGGAGGCTCACTTACTTCTGCTGCAGTAGACAGAGAGATGCCGGACGACCCCCAGACCACTGTTGGTAAGCAATAAATGGGTGTTAAACTTTATTTCTTCCTTTGATTGATTTCAGTTTTAGAGGTATTTTGCCCCAGGATTTCCTCTCCCCAGAGTTACATCTGGTGGTAGTCAGCAGTACCTTTGAACCTGAAATCTGTCTAAATAGGTGCAACCTTTTTGCAGACTGCCCCTAGAGATGGTGTGGAGATGCCCAGAACCTCCCCCCCACACCCCCCACCCCGGGTAGATAGCTTGGAGGCCCCAGTGGCTGCGGTGGGAGAGGGTTCAGCTTTGCCTGGGAGCCGCCTACCTGTGGGGCTTCCAATTTGGGCGCCCCTAGGGGGTAATTGGTCTAGGGTAAATCACCTCCTAGAGGGGTGGGGCCTTCCCCAGAACTGGTGTGGAGACACTGGAAGCTGAAGAATTAGACTGCCGTGAGATAGAAGACTGCCTAGAGGCCCTGAGTGGCCGTGGAGCAGCTGACATTATAGGGTCTCTTTTTCTCGAGGTGGCGGAATATGATATTCAGAAGAGAAAGAGAACTATCAAGGAAAAGAGAGGGTTATGCAACGGTTAGCAAGAAAAGAGAGGAACTTAGGCAGGAGAGAGACACACTTTGGCATTGCTTGGAGGACCTGGGTGATAACCTATGGGATGAGAAAGAGTTATTGAGAAAATGATCGCACTCCTGGAAGATTCCTTAGCAGCAGGAAGTGGGGAGGCGGCAGAAGAAGCCTCACTGCAGGAGGCTGTAGGGAGGGGGAGGAAAAAGCAGTGCCTTTAGCCCCAGAGATGGTGGAGGAGTTGGGGGGGAAGATGACGAGGTGGGGCCATGGGCTAATCTGCTGCACAGGCCACCGCCCAAGGTACCAGCCTCTCCTGTTTTAAAGGCCCACCTGGCTGTAATTAAGAAAATAAAAATGAAACACCACGGGACTCCTCAGGGGGAGGAGTCGCCCCCTCCCCAGGTTGTGGAGCCCTCCATGCTCTGCCCTATACCCAGGATGAGCTGCTGGACATGAGGGTCCGGTATAGGCAGAAGCCATTGGAATCTCTGCCTACATGGCTTTTATGTCTCTGGGATGTGGGGTGCAAAACACTGTTATGTCAGGTACTGAGATGAGTAGACTGGCTTCCCTGACGACTCACCCTTCCCTCCGGCATCGGTTGTAAAGTGCCCATCATGCCTCAGGGGATCAGGCACTCCTGGAATGGCTGACAGCTGCCATCAGGATAGTTTGGCCTAATCAGGGTGATTTACCATATTTTCCCAGTAGTTGGAAAACATATGCAGAGCTCCAACAGGTACTGTGGGAAATGGGCATGAAAAATATCATCTATAATATGGGCCCCCAGGGCCCTGATGAGGAGTTGTTCACCATAGAAATGAGAAAGCTGGTGCTGCATACAACTCCCACATCTCTCTTTGGGTCCCTAGTGACTACTCTTGCCCACCTAGGGCAACCCATAAATGAGGCTACTCATACTTTAGCAGATCTGGAGGAAGGTGAAACAATAAGAGCACAGAAGGAAGTACGGGCTAAGAAGGAAGTACAGGCTACAACTGAAAGAAGAGGTGCAAAGGGCCTCATGAAGGTCTCAAAGACCCACATGTGAGTTGATTTGATAAAGGCCAGGGTAGTGAAAGAAAAACTTGATGTGCAGCCCAATAGGATCTTG